GCAAATGCCTCTGTGCAGGGCTTGGGCGGGGCAGGTCGCACAGGATCAACAGGGTTGGCCAGAGAGAGAGCAGTTATGGCAGCTCTCAGTCCTGTCCCGGGGGCTCTGCCTCTCTGAGTCCCAGCAACCGCTGCAAACCTCGGAGAGAAAGCTGCACTCGCTCTGACCGAAGCCAGACAGTCCCGCTTCTCCCGTTTGAGTCTGGGTCCCCACAGACTCGCCCGGATCTAGAGCTCAGAGTCTGCGACTCCCTCCAGATTGAAAACAACAACCGCGCCCTCCGCTGCCAGCCCGCTTCTCGCACTCCGCACCTCAGTATTTGACTTCAGCACTGCGCCTCCTCTGAGTGTCCGTATGCGTTACTCTTTCCTCCTAGTTGTAGGAATTCCCCTCAGCCAGCGTTCCTGTGGTTCTGGGTGATGTCCCTTCCGTCTTTTAGTTTCACTTTTGAAGTGGTTGTTCAAGGCAGCAAACTCCGGCGTTAAACTATGCCGCCATCTTGGTTCTCCGATCTCTTCAACTAATATTTAAATTGAACTCCTCAATTTCAAACAAAACAAAAACTATTAGAAATGTTGAATGGGATTGCACTAAATCCATAGATCAATTTGAGAAAATCAACATCTTTACAATATCGAGTTTTACCAAAATATGGCTTGCTCACTACCTTTCTATATTTTCATTTGTAAAATATTTCAACATAGCATTTCTGGTTTCTCATGAGGTCTTATATATTTTCGTTAAGGTTATTTCTATGTACGTTGTACTAAGCAGAGGCACTCTAAGTGTTATCTTAAGTTTTATTTTTTATACTCTTGTTGGTATCAGAATTTTTATATACAAATTTTAAATCAAGTAACCCTACTAAACTCACATATTAAATCTAATATTCTAGAGAATCCTGGAATTTTCTAAATATACAATCATAGTGAATAATAGCTTTATTTACCCCTTTCTATATATGTACATACATATATACATGTGTATGCCATGTGTGCATGAGCATGTTTGTTTTCTTTTTTCTTGCCCTACTGCACCTGATAGTTCCCTTAGGAAAACAAAGATTACAAGTGGTAGTAACATGTATTTTTGTGTTATGCTGAATCTCCTAGGAAAAATATTTAAAAGTGTAATATTTGATATAGATTTAAAAAATTAACATACTATAGAATTCACTTTTTTTCTTTTTGGTGTACAGTTCTCTAATTTTTTAACCCATATATAGATTCATGTAACCACCATCATAGTCAGAATAGAAAATAGTGATATCACCCAAATGGCCTTTTTTGTGCTGACTCTTTCACACACACACACACACACACACACACACACACACACTAGAGGCCCAGTGCATGAAATTCTTGCATGGGTAGGGTCCCTAGGCCTGGCCAGTGATCAGGGCCGATCGGGGCCTCCCAGCTGCCGGCCGCGACCTTCTTTCTGGCTGCTGGCCGGGGCCTCCCTTCCCTAGCTGCTGGCTGCCGACCAGAGCCTTCCTTCATTCCACACCGCCCCAGGTGGCCAGGGCTGTGTGTCTTTAATCCAGTTATTTTCTTTAAAAAAATATTTTTTTTTATTGATTTCAGAGAGGAAGGGAGAGGGAGAGAGATAGAAGCATCAATGATGAGAGAGAATCAATGATTGGCTGCCTCCTACATGCCCCACACTGGGGATCGAGCCCGCAACCTGGGCATGTGCCCCGACCGAAAATTGAACCGTGACCTCCTGGTTCATAGATTGTTGCTCAACCACTGAACCACGCCAACCAGGCTGACACTTTATTTTTAAAAGAATATTTGATATATTTTTTATTGATTTTAGAGAAAAGAAGGAAGGAAGAGAGAGAGCGACATCAATGATACGAGAGAATCATTGATCGGCTGCCTCCTGCACAACCCCTGCTGGGGATAGAGCCTACAACCCAGGCTTGTGCCCTGACCGGGAATCAAACTGTGACCTCCTGGTTCTTGGGTTGATGCTCAACCACTGAGACACACCGGCTGTGCTGTGCTGACTCTTTGTAGTCAAACCTTCCCTCATCTCTCACCTCTAGCCAATTCTTCTCTGGTATGTTCTTCATCCCTATGGTTTTGTCTCATCCAGAATGTCATACAAATTAAATTAAACAGTCGTTAGCCTTCTGAGACTGACTCCCTTCACTCTACATGAAGCCTTTGAGATTCATCTATGTTGATCTATGCATTCATAGTTCATTCTTTATTGTTGCTGAGTGGTATTCCATTTCATCGATATATCACAGCTTGTTTATACATTCACTCGTTGAATTATGTATATCTTCTGGCTCTGTGATTTACTCAGTTTCTTCCTTTTCAATGAGGAAAATGTATCCACAACATAGAATTATTGTGAGGATGAAAATGAGTTTAATGCATGTGAAGTGCTTAGGTAACACCTGGTATATTGTAAGTGCTCAACAAATATAATTCATTATTATTGTCCCCAATATTAGTAAAGATTTGAGGTAGAAAAGAAGTTGATAAGTTCAAGGAATAGTAAGAAGGCCAGTGTGCCTGAAGTGTGGTGAGCAAGGAAGACAGGAAGAGGTATGTAGGAATCAGGTTCCAAAGGGCCTTATGGGCTGTAGAAGGGAGTTTTGATTTCAGTCTGTGTGCAGCAGAAACCCAGAGATGGGTGATAATCTGGTTCATGCCTTTAACAGATCGTTCAGGCTGCTGTGAGGAGAATGGGTTTTGGTGGTGGTAAGAGAGAGCAGTAACCTTTTCAGGTTACTTCAGTAGTCCAGGGAAAAGATGCTGGTGGCTTGGACCATAGTGGTGGTTGTGGGATGGTAGAAGTGATTTGATTCAAGGCATGGTATGGATGTAGAAACCTTAAAATTTGCTGATGGATTCCCAGCTCAGTGGACCACAAGAGCGGTGGTATGACTAGTCATAATTATCAACAGCAACACTCCTCTCCATTATGGCTTTACCAAAGATTTCCCACATCCACTTTTGAACTGAAACCTAGCCTTTCATTCTGAAATTCACTTGATGAAATAGCCTGTCTTTTCATACATCTTAAAATGACATCTAACTGACATTTTTCTTATTCATACTCACAACCCAGACCCATTTGTAACAAACTGGCCTATGCCACAAAAACGTTTTCTCACAGCATTTTGCTCTGTGGTTCTCTGCAGCCTGCATAGTTCTGTGACCCCACATACTTAGCCGTATTGCTGGGAATCAAGTTGTCATAGCTGCTTCATGCTTAGCCAGGGAATGGTCGTTTTAGTGGTTGGCTGCAGTTCCTGTGTACACTTGGGACTTATTGTTGGAATAAACATTATTAGACTCAGACTAAAATTGGACCAGGATTTTATTTTTGTCCTCCTTTCAACTTCAACTTACCCTACATTCTATTCTCTCACCCAAATGACAAATGGTCTTGACTTTATGAAGTTGATCTATAGATTAAAATCAGCGCTGGGTGCTTTGCTTAGCCTTGCATTCAAATGGAGATTTTTTTTGGGGGGGGGGTGAATGGGGGAGTTAAAAATTGAATTCTCTGATCTCACATAGAAAGTTTTATTTCCTGTGTGTCTGTTCTTAACACATCTGTATTTGTTCTCTGTGGGGCCTTAGCTTCCAACTCCTCCTTAAAGACAAACCCTGACCCAGTCTTTATCTGGAACACTCATCAAGCTTTTTTTTTTTTTAACCCTATCCTATCTGCCTAATTTGGAGCTTATGATAATTCAAAGTTTGCTAAATAGAACAAAATCTTCCTTTTATCCTGAGCTCCTTGTCTTGTCTTGTCTCAGTTTGCAACATCTCTTGTCAAGTGAATATCCAATTGTGCATTTATTTACTCAGGTTTTCTGTGTTTTATTATTATTATTATTATTATTATTATTATTCAGTCAGTTTACTTGTAGAAGCACCGCTAGAATCTTGGAGATGCTCACTTGGAATTTTGTATATCATTTTCTGCTTCTTTGTAATTGGCTTCTTTTGTGATCTTGCAGAATACCAAGCTGCTATTTTACACTTGAAGAGGGAGCACAAAGAAGAAATTGAAAACCTACAGGTATGTCTCTTTGATTCTATTGAACTGATTACTGAGGCTGATTCTTAGTTTCCTCATGTGCTGAAGTAAACATTTCCCTTTTGAAGGCATATTTATCTGGACAGCACCTGTAGCTTGCACTTGCCAGTGGGCACTGAGTCTGTCCTGGGGATGAAAGCCTTGGACTCTGTTTTTAATATAATTCAATTCCTATTTTTAAAAAATACCACAAATGCATTAGCATGGGAAAAGAATTTGATCAGGAAAAATGATGGGTTTATTTGTAAAGCAGGAAAGATGATGGAGTATTTAGCCTTTTGCTGTTTATAAGAAGTATTTAAATAGTTACTTTTTGTAGGCACAGTGTAAATTATTTTGTTTGGCTTACTCCCATTCATGTGTTTGTATTTGTCTGCCTGTTAGCACATGCCTGCGATATGATGTCATGCAGATTAAGGCATTAAGGAAGTGAGCCTAGTAGGAGGAAGAGTTGCGTTGAGTTGTGTATCCCCAGGGAGTGCTTGGAAATGGCTGACTTGATCCTCTTTGGCGAAGCTCAGAAAGACTGAGGCATCATTTCCTCCACCATCTAATTGTCAACCCCTTATTTTTGGTGTTTGCTTGCTGTGCCTGCAACAGGAAGTTTCAGAGTCTTAATTTCAAATAAGTGAATATCGAATCAGGCACCGATTCTAGCTCACTGATGACTGGGTGGACTCCGTCCCTCAGGAGAGGACAGTAGCAAACTTCAAATAAAACTTGGTGTTTAGTGTTAACTGATTACTTGCTAATTCAATAACATAGTGGATCAGATATTCTTCTTTTCAGTAAGTGATAATGCATTTTTACAATAACTGAGACAACGTGTTAGAATATACATGAAGCCATTGCAAGTAGCAAAAAGATCAATAAGTCATATGGTATATAAATTCATGCCACCCTCATCCAGCTGGGTCTAAGTGGTTCGGAAGAGGGAATGAGTCTATTTCACAAAGAAACAAAAAGGTGGAAAAGTACCTCGGTCTCCTAAGGGAAAAAGAGAGGTGGAGGCCCTTACCTCCTTTGTTGCAAAATGCTCTACAGAGACCTCTCTTTCTTTATCTGTGTTCTGATGTGCAAAAGATTCTCGGCTGTCTCAGAGGAGCTGAACTGGGATTAATTTAAGAAACAGGTTGCTAACTCGAGTAGGCACAGAATGGTTCTGTGAGCAGACATTTTATGTAGCAACTTGGTTTTAAGAGTTAACACTAGCTTTCCACAGGCTGTAGACCAGCCCTGTTGAGGACTTTGACTACTAAATAATATTCATAGATATAGCTGGCGCTTAACATTTTTGAGTTTTTACTTTATGCTGGTCATTGTTTTAGACGCTTCATACATTAGTTTGTGTCATCTCCATAAAAGTCCTATAATCTTCCATCTTTTTTTTGAAGAGTAAATGGAAAAGAAAAAAGTACATTGGAATTGTGATCTCTATTTAAGATAAAATCAGAACAAGGTATGACTGGCAATAGTAAAGGTTAAAAAAAGTGTTTCTAATTGTATCTTAAGTGTTAAGTATCTCTGAAAGAATTATCTGCTCTTTAAATGCTATTTCCAGTAAACTGTAAAGAATATTTTTGTACCATATTTGTGATTTATAACTAATTGCTGAAATCATATACCTGTGATTTATACTTAATTGCCATGGCATACCACTGCCACCAGGGCAGGGCCTGGTGCCCAGTCTGTACAGTTAACTGTAGTCCAGAACTGTTTTAGCAGTCACAGATTACCCTCAACAGGAAACTGGCAACTTGAATTCTAGTTTTTGTTGGCAAACAACATTTTAAGATTGAATTAGGAATAAATATTTTAAAATATGCAGGAATTTCTAGCTGGTTTTTTGTTTGTTTGTTTGTTTTAAAGGAAAATGTGTCAGCAGTGGGCTTATTTTCCTGTATGTATTCAACCTACAGGAGTTGAGTAGCAGGTATCCACTTCAACTGGTACACTTGTTTTCTGGTTTGCCACTGTCCTGCTCTGGGCCATTTCACTGGCCTGGCTCCTTTATGCTTTCATTAACCTCTGTTCTCTGGGAGATGTTGAAAATACAGTAACTAGATTGACAGCAACACCAACCAGTCTGCACAGAAGCTGCACATAAAACTGACGGTAACCTGGCCTGGCCATCCTCGTGGGCACTCCCAGGATATCATCTCTACCTGTTTCAGTCTACAAAGCAACGAAGGCATAGGACTTGTGGAAGGCTGTGAATGGGTGGGAGGACTCCTGTGGTGATGTTCATTTCTTAGTATGTGATTTCCATTGGCAGCCTTCAATTGCCTGTTACAGTTTCTTTCTCCACTTACAGCTCATGGCCAAGCTGGCGTGTTGCAGGACTTCTTCAGCATGCCCTTCTAGAATAAGAAAGATTTCATGGGTAAAGGACAAGGGAAAAGTGATTAATTATGTGACCAAATACAAGAATTGATATGTATCACATTTAATTTTTTGGAATGTTTTCAGAAAGTTTAAAAAAAAACAGGATCCAATAAACAGAGACCCTAAATTCAGAGAACCTTAATTGTTCAATTCTCTGCCCTGCAAAAGGGATTTCTTCCACCTACATTAATTTGGTCGGAGGTTGACATTTTTAGCCCAGAGTCCCAAGTCTTGTAAGTGGGAGAGTATGGAGTTCCTAATTGCATGCCTGCCATTGTGAAGTGCTGTACTATAGAGAGGACACAGGGCTTGGTCTTGGAAACAGATTTTCAAGATGTGTAGCAACTAACATACAGATTCCCCTTATCAAAAACAGGTTTGTTGATTATGTGAATGAATCCATTTCAGGAATCTTATGTTTATATTTTTTTCTACACAAAGTCAATGCATTTGGTTGACTTTTCTGTTAAAATCTCTGGTAGGAGAGTGGTGGCAGGTTGAACTGCCAAGACCTTTGTGGCAGGGTTCAGGATCTGAAGGAGGGGCTAACGCACAAATGAAAATACTACATAAGAAATATGAATTTAGAAGGCATTGGGGGCCAGGTGGAGCCTCTTTCTTGAAGAGACACACCAAAACTGGGTCCTGTCTGCTTTTATTCAGTTTTAGATACACATCTTGCCCTCAGTAAAGCACAGCAAACAGGTAGCAGGCAGTAAAGATCAGTAAAGATCAATAAAGATCAATAAAAATCAGTAAAGATCAATAAAGATCAGTAAGGTCCAGTAAACATTTACTTGGAGGCTATCAGGTCAGGAAATTGCTTCGAGCCACCACTATCTCAACACCAACAATCGATGCTTAGTGTCAGCCCTTCTAATGCTCAAGGTCCATCGGCCTTCTGCGTTCCTTGGTGCACTCTCATGACAGTATTGGCAAGCAGTGGCTTCCCGCATTGAATATTCCCTGTGGGTTCACTATTTTGTGTCATTGATAAATAGCCACAGCAAAATTCTTTAATTTTGTCCAAGTGTGCCCTGTCTTTCACAAACTATACCTTGAGAATTTATGATCACTTCATGATCCTGGGCATCATCTGGTTCATTTTTCACTTTTAGATAATTCTATGTTACTAACTTTAATTTTAAAAAGTTACCACCTACCTTTACAGGTTTTCACTTATTTGAGAAGTTTTGCCTGTGGTAGCCATTGCATGAGTTCATGATTACTGGGTAGAAACATAGTTCATGACTACTGGGTAGAAACATACTTCAGATCTGCCCTTCCAAAGCATATGATAAAACTAAATCTCTCATGGTACAAATAAAGAGTTATTTCTAAGAGCTTGCTTAGGAGCAAGGTTTGAAAACCACCATCACGGCTGTTTTACAGGTTGTGTGACTGTAAAGCTGTGATTTTATTTTATGCATGATGAGAATGTGAAAGAACTCAGGTCTTTGAGTCAGAGCTCAGTTCAGCTCCTTGCACTGTGACATTAAGAAATGAATCAACTTCTCTGGGACTTAGTTTTCACATCTGTACAGTAATACTCATGCTGCTGATGATCATGTCCTTCTAGGATTGTTCGGCACAGGGTACACCCAATGGTACTGGTTATGTGTTATTTCTCATTCCTTTTTTTCTCTGCACAGATCTCTTTATGATTAAGCAGTTTGAGTTTAGAGTGATCCTCGGCTCTCTTGGTTGAGTACTTCCTTGGGACATTTGACTTATTCTTTTAGGGTGATTTTTCCATGATCTTTCAGCTGTTCTTCTTCCTCTGTGCTCTCTATCAGGGAAGTCTACACCAGGTTTCCCGAAAGCTCATTCCACTGTACTGGGAATCTCTGAAATGCTTCTTGACAAAAAGATTTCATGGTTGTATAAGTTTGAGAAATATCTGGTTCTCCTGTTGGGACTTTACCATGTATAGAGAACTACAAGAGAGAAAATTGTATAACTTGTTTCCCACATAATTCTTTCCCCCCCAAATAACCTATGTTTTGGAATACTCTTCTAAGTTGATTTATCTAGTCTTATCATCTCAATGTAAGATTTAAGTTAAGTTCTTGAAGTGGTTTCAGCACCATTTTCATGCCACCAAGGCCCTGCTTACTAATCTGCTGATTTAGGCACCCTGGGGGAGCAGTGATGTTTGTCTCTACATCTCTTAAAAGTACCTACCAAAGTGCTTGTCATATAGATGACATGCAAATATTTCTTATATAACAACTTGTGATTGAAAAATAATAGAATTGAACTTTTTAAAAAAAAACAATTTTACTTTGTTATTATTATTTTTATATATTTTTATTGATTTCAGAAAGGAAGGGCGAGGGAGAGCTAGAAACATCAATGATGAGAGAGTATCATTGATTGGCTGCCTCATAAATGTCCCCTACTGGGGATTGAGCCTGCAACCTGGGCATGTGTCCTTGGTTAAAATCAAACTCGGGCCCCTTCAGTCCGCAGGCTGATGCTTTATCCACTGAGCCAAACCAACTAGGGCATAGTACTGTACTTTTAATTCAATCCATACTGTGTGTCAACCTCTGTTCCAGTCATTTAGCATTTGTTTTTTGTTATTTTTGGTTATT